CGCAGCTTATTTGGACAATTTAAGATTATCACGTATTATTATTATTGCAGGGTGCGGTAGTGTTACGTAGGTAAATGGATAATACGAATACGCTACACGGTCGCAAATATAGACACGCATGCTTCAAAAATAATATAATATATAAATACCAAAAAACGCAAAAAAAATTAATTTGATTTTATCGCAAATTGGCCAATTTAATTACCTATTATACATATGACATTTAATTTTGATTTATCGAGAAAATATGTAGGTATTTTTTTCTCCCAAATCGAAGTCTCTTCGGAATATTTCCATTATTTTTTCAATAAATTTAATACCTGTTAAAATAATAGAATCGTTTTTACACGACCAGGTGTATAATAGTTTGGTAAAATAACGAACACAATCATTCTTCGGAAAGCGGTAAATACATAACATCATACGTGAAAATCGAATACGAGTAAGAATAAATCAACGTCATTTTCTATTTTTATTTCGCGACTTTTAGTTGCGTCATTTTATGCCATACTGCTCGGCAAAAAGTATAATATTTTGTTCGCAACATTTATTAAGTTGATATGAGCATGATATTACGGTCTAGAAATAATTATAATTTTTTGAAAACATAACTGCATGATATTATTCAGTGCATTTATTATTATAAATGTATATTTTCCATTGAACAACACWACGTTCGCTCACAGCGTATTTATATTTTGGCCAGCAACAAACTTTTTGATTGCGTGATAACGATTTTAAATTTGTTAGGATTAAATTTGAATATGACACAAAATCGTTGTAGAGTATTATTATATATGTTAGACAAACAGTGCTCTAATTAGGTCACATTTACTACATGGATTAGTATAGTGTGCAAACTACTAATCCAATTAAATCGAATTACTCGCTACTCAAACATTTAACATCGTATAGGTGGGAAAACTAAAACAGAAACGCCATTGAAAATGTTTAGAAGCATATACTCTAAATATATTATGTCGTATTATTGTATGTTAACCACGCCGTAGGTATCTATAAATATTAAATTTTATTTTGTAGGAAAAATACTGAGATATGGTTGAAAAGTGATATGGAATTATTTTTACAAGGACTTGGCTGCTATATTAT